TGCAATTTTAGCACATTTGGCTGTGATGTCTTCATGATCAGAAATCTTTCCCTCAAAGACCAGTTTTCGTTTCCTACCACCTTTGGTTCTAAGTTTGCAAGGCACTTGAATTTGCTAAAAAGTAAGGAGTTTACCAGAGGGCAGCCACAAACATTGTTACACGGCCAGCCAAAATAAATAAACAACAAAGAGGGAGCCCACAGAGGTGGAGAGAATGAGTGAAGTCCAGTTCACAAAGAAAGTCAAACAGTGTGAAAGTGGTGCTTATTCCATAGGTGGTAACTGAAGGGGTCTGTCCTTCAACTGGAGATGTCACTAAGTTTTCAAATAACTGTAGTGCACTACAGCAACCAGCCAAAGCCTTTAATTTGAAATCAGTCAAACAAAAGTAGGGTTTTTTTTTTAATTTATTGTCCCAGAAGCCATAGTCAAAGTCAATAAGAAACTCCTTACTGGCATCAACAAAGTTGTCTATTATTCTTTTACTGGAAGAGATGTGGCTATATTATTCTGCTTTCAATGTTTAAAAAGTAGTCTGTGCTAAGTGTGAATATTCTGATCAACCATAACTATGCGAATGAAAACAATGAAAGAGAAGCAAAATGTTTGTGAAGCTACATGGGACCAAGAAAATCAAAATAACATAGGCAAAGCAATTTCAAGAAAACATTTCATCTACAGGACTCTAGATACACACACAAACATGTCGAGTTAACAGAATTGTGCTACTGACAAGAGCAATTCGAAACATCCTGTGCTGTTTCCTTTACTAAAAGCCAACATAGTGTTGTCTCAAAAATTGACCTGTTTTGCAGTGGTAGCAAAGAATTTACAGTGCAAAACTGTTCACTTCTCTATTTGACATTAGAAAAAAAAATATATCTTTAATAACGCAGGCGGCAAAATTCACATTGTTTTATGTCTTAATACTATGATGTATGACAGATGATGTATTTTCTCTACACTATTAGTAGTAGCAAAGACAGTGCAAAAAGAAAAACTATTTGAAAAATTAAATAAAACATCTTCAGCATTGCCCATGGCAACATTTAATACAAAATTGCACATGCATAGCAGAGGACACTTTTTTAGGAGTGAATCATCCAATGATATAAGTCTTTGGTAGTCGTCAGGTATGTATAACCCAAGCCTTTTCACAACCAATTCATTTTAGGCTGGCCACATAACAGCCTACTATCAGATAGCACTATTAAACTTAATAATTTTAGACATCTCGATAAAAAGGAACTGAACAGCATTGTTTCAAGCTATATAGTAGCGAGGAACTAAAATCAACGATATATTTCATCTTCTATGACTTTGTCATAAAATGCTATGAGCATTATGCCATCTCCATTTGATGTTGAAAGCAAAAGTTGCATTGACTTAAAACTACGAAGAAGGCACAAGCTGCATTCATAATAGGTATACACTTATCAATTCCCCTGTATGTAGTAATCAATTCAGGTACTACTTATACCACAACCCTCAAGAGAAAACCCAGCAAGCTTTAAATATATAAGAACCGAGCATTCATTTTTAAAGAATTTACTCTTGCTTAGCAAGCTGCTTTTCTTTCACTATTATATGTGTTGCAATATTGAGTATATTCTTCAAAAAAGAATGGTTATGAAGAGCGATAAATTATTAACAAAACCTACAAAAGCAAAAAACATGAATTTTTTGGCCCCATGCATTTAACTAAAATCCCACATATAAAAATAACTGAGATAATCCGTACCCAAGTCTCCAATATAATGTGCTTTACAGGAAATGAGGAGTAGAATTGTTTGAAGAACAGGGCAGCAAAGAACAATGGAACTACTCTCTACTTCATTTGAACATGTCTTTAAAACATGAAGTTTATCAGGATTATGGTGCAGTTGAACTGAAAAGTTGATCTAACATATTCCAATAGTAAAACAATATATGATGACAATATTGACCAAGGGCATTCGCTAAATGCTTTGAAATGGAAAAGTATTATATCTCCATCAAACACAATTTCCATCATTCGGGAGGCCAGCAGCTTCAACCTTGCCAGTCAAGGTCAACTCGTGCTGAGGGGCATACAACATCCCAGCATAAAGACTGAAGATACTTGATAAAAATTCTCCCAACCTGGAAATCAAACTCACATCTCCAGTATACCATGCCAAAAAGCCTGATCACTACACCATAGACTCCGGAACTGAATGCTTTCCACAAACAACAAGAATTAAAAACACATTATGGAGTATCCCAAGGCAATCTCTAAACATTGCTCCTTAAACACCCTTTACGACCAACTTTGATGGAATGCTTCCAAATGAAAGAACAGCTCAGTTTATTTTATGTACATGAGGCAGCTTCGAAGAGACAGCTGAGCTGTAACTGCCAAGAAAGAGAGAATTTCAAGACAAATTGCTTAACTGTTCTCTGTGATCCCCCTTTCTAATACTGTAAAGAAAAAGATGGAACCACAGACTCATTATTTTCATCTAAAAAAAATCACCCACAAAAAATTACATGATCACATCAACTTGCTGACGTGAAGTATGAAAAAGAATCAAACAGAAAAGTAAAATCCAGCAGGAGAAATACAGGGTGATAAAAAAAAAACAACCTGTACAACTTTTTTTCCTGAATATCTCGCACAAAATTTGTACTAAAATGTTGTAATTTGGAACAGATATAATTCATTCAAAAGAAATTTGTTTGAAATAAAATTCACAAAGAAGAAACTTATTTTCTAAAACGGAAATGGTTTTTATAAAAACCACCTATAATGGCAAAATGCACCAATTTAAAAGATCTTGTAAGGAAAGTAATGAAACGATTGTTTTGTTGGGGAGTTGAGGTTGCCCAAATAGACAGCATTTGTGGAGTTGATAGAACCTCAAAGGTGAATATGGGCTTTGCCAAGGAACCAAATATCATAGTGGAAATGTTCATGCTTTTCAAGACGATAGAGGAATCATGAACACATCGTTATCCTCAAATAGCTTCAAGAACGGGAAGATGGGACAGTGGAAGATGAAGATTTGCCTTGAGAATGCGGGCAGTTGAGATGTAGGAAAGTCATTGCTGCAGACATCGTCTACAGACAGACGTCTCATGGGGCTCATCTACAGACTTCTGACGTATAAAGGGGTGCGAATGGTGTGTGTTTGACCTGAAGTGGTCGTTTTGTTTGGGAATTTTTAGTTCTGATTCTCCACAGGTCCTAACTGATGGACCATTTCCACCCTTGACACCAAAGAGTGCCTTAAGGGCACTCTAACATTATTTCCATGCCTTGAGCGAAACATACGAAATTAGTTGATGGTGAGGAAAAGTTCAATACAAAAAGCTCTCTGCTCTTTACTAATCTTAACCATGATCTCAGCAGGCAAAGAAAACTTGAGAAAAACTATCTGCAAGCTTCTGTTGGCCTGTTAGACTAATGTAGCTTGCAATACGCCGCAATCGTTGGGATTTTTAGTGGTAGGCCTAATGCGAACTAGTGCGCCATACTACAAAAATGGAGACATAGCTGAAAAAGAATTGGTTTTTTTTACGAGCAAACTATTCCGTGGATTTATCTAAAATGAAATCAGACAAATTCCTTTTGACTTCTAAACGATGTGTCCAAATTTGAAATGCAAAACTTCAGAGTGGAGGAAAATATTAACAAAAAAAGTTGTACATTTTTTTGGGGGATCATGGTAATCCAAAAACTTATGGTCCTTGGGTCCAAGAACTTCAAATATGCCGCGTTGACAACAAACAGGATCAAAAGGAAGGGAGAAAACTGAACTCAATGCCTCCATGCCAGGATGACATCATGTGTATGCACTCAAGAATTTTTAAAAAGCCTTAATTTCTCACTCCAAGTTATCGATGCAAAAAAATATTGAGAAAATTAAAATTCCACAAATCATACAATTGGAAAAGATATCCCTGCTTTTAACATATATTTGTTAAAAAGCTTTAGATCACTTCTGTTATGATAATTTCATTACTTAGTAATGCACATATTAAAAAAAGCTGTGTATTTATTATAAAGATTAAGAGAAAAAAAAGTACATGTCGGTTGAAGGTGAAAGAACATTTTTCCAGTGATTTGGTACAAAACACAGCAAAAATTCTATGCTCTACACATTCATGAATGTGGCATGCAGGCATTGGGTCACAGGGGAAGAGTTCTAATCAAAAGTAAACATGTGGGGATGCTGCCAAAAATGAAGTATGTACAAAATCACAACGAAAAGGATTTCAGACTCTTTCAAATCAACACAAAATTCAAGGGCATTAAATATATATATATATATATATATATATATGAGGCTTTGTGGTGAAATCAGGCGCTCCTGTTCATCTCTTTTTGTTTTTATAGGCTCAACACCTTCTATTCCCATTTAAAAACTTATTTCTCTGTGGGTTTTGCTGAAAAACATTGTAAAGAACACAAAATATATAGATTTGCAGTTCCATTCCCTCGCTGATTTTTCCTATGACACGAGGGGACCCTGGAGTCCTTTAAATGCAAATATATTAATTTTTTTTTCAAGACAGATGGGTACTTTTTAAAAATCAAAATGAACCAGCTTTAAGACAGTACCAATAAATCAAATGTCCAAAAAATTGATAAGCGCCTGATTACATGCCATCACGATACATATATATAGTTAAACCTGCTTTAATGACCACCTGTCCAAGAAAGTTACGTGTACAAACAACCCATTTCTCATCTTGCATTTTTCATTCTCATAATGACACTCTTCAAGAGATGAGTCCTGTCTAAGACAGGTCTTAAACCTGTCTAAGATTACCAATTTTCTCCTCGATAATGGTGGCTGTCTTGAATAAGTTCAACTGAATATAGATATATGTGAGGCATCGTGGTGAAATCAGTCGTTCATCAAAATAATTACAACCGAAGATATCAGCATTTTTCCACGACTTTGACAATTTTTTAAATATTTTTTTTTTGGGGTGGGGGGGAGAACATCTTTCATGTTCATTTAAAAACTTTTTTCTGTGTAGATTTTACAGGAAAATATTTAAAGGCACAACAAATACAAATTTTCAGTTTCAACGGACTCTCAAGCTTTGGAAATCAACTAACGTTGGCGGCCATTTTCTCGGTAATGTTATCGCTGAAACCAGGGCACACCCATCTCCTTCATTTGCCAATATCTAGACTTCTATTCAAGATAGTTGTGTATTTTTTTCATCAAGAGATAATCAAATTAACAAGCTTTAAGATGATACCGAAAACTCTACATGCCCAAAAATTGACAAACACCTGATTCTACCAAGTCGTGACACATACAATCTATATATCAAAAGCATTTTAGGACGAAGCAAAGCTGAATCAAGCGGGCTTTCGGATGGATTTATGCGAGAGGTATAGCAAATACATCCAGCATAAGTACCAGACTTGCTTTTAAATTCCCAAACTTGAAATCTAAAGATTCCTGACCAGTTGGAGAGGCATCATTTGAGTCGAGTAAAGATTTCCTGCCTGCTCTCTTTGAGAAGTCAACTTGCCAAAGCAAAGAATTCTGAATACCAGTTATAGCTGGAGAAAGTGTTGTGTGTTGGAAATATAATTGGTAGAGCAGGCAATGCACTGACCCTCCCTGTTCACTGCTTTACCATGACCCCATGACTTCATTCATCTTTCCACAGTTCAAATGTTTTACACTGATGGCAGTAACTGTAAACACTATAGACACACATCAATGCTGGCAGTCTAATAGGTTTACATTTGGACATTATAACAAGAGTACACAAACCACTTCTTGAAATATTTGTTGTTTTATCCACTTTTCCTTCCCACCCACCCCCAGATTACAGTGCAAAGGTCAATCAACCAACCACATGGGTCCTAGAGTGAGTTCTTGCAGGTAAACTATTTTTGTACAGCAGCCAGCTATTGGCTGGTTAGTCAGAAGTGCAGGTGCTGCTCATAAACTCAATCTTAAGACCAGTAGTTTCACAGTGTCTGAAACCTGAGCTTATACTGGCGTACGACTACACCTGCCACATGAATTCAACTTGAGAAGTCCACAAAGGGCAAAATAAATTAAGGTACTGTAAAGGTCTTTAAGGAAAAAAGAAAAAGAAGCACAACAAAAGGGGAGAAGATACAAAAACAAAAGTGATCAAGTAAAAATGTGATCATGAGCGAGGCACAACACATTGAAGGGTGCAAGAGGACCTGAAGTAAACATACTCATGCCCCCTTTCCCAAAGAGTTTTTGGGGAGATTTTTATTTATCAAACATGTCATGTTGACTGCTGAAGTCACTGACCTTCGTTCTTTAAACATTATCCTGCTCATTGGTTTTTTAAAAAATACATATATGATTTAACTGCTATGCTCTACCAAATAAGCTCATGGGAAAGACATTCTGAAGGACTGTAAACAAAGTGATACTTTTGTTAAAATAAGAAAGACATCTCTACACATATGGAAACCAAGCACATTATAGCATAGTTGTCCTGAAGGCATGAGCATTTAAATTTACTATGTACTGTATCCACCAGTGTCCATACACGCATTTGATTTAGTTGCTTAGTTCATATGGCAAGTGAGTCAATTATCACACTTCAAAGTGACTAAATTCAGTTTTTACTTTACAGAGTAACACAATCTGCTTTAATATCAAGCGGATTAGAGATGATTTCCTTCCCATCAAGGTAAAATCCACAACAGTCAGTTTGTTAAATTTGAATCTAGACAAAGGCTTTAATGACTTTTCACAGAAAGATATTTTCCCTTTCTTATTTCACTTTGTAAGTTGTAATGGAGCAAACTGGCAGATTGGAAATTACCGGGAAAGGCAAGGACCTGGTGGTGAAGGCAGTTTGCTTATTGAAAATAAACAATCTGTCAGCTTTACTATGTCTGGAGGAGTGGAGGGAGAGGAAGCACAAATGAAGACGGACATGTCCTTGATGCCGCAAAATCCCAGGACTTGACAAATCAACTAATTTAGTCAAACAGCCTGGCTTTCGGCCCAAATCATGAATCATCACCACTATAATCTGAGTGTTCCTCTACATAATAGAACTCCATATGCTTTATGGAACAGCATTGTTCGAGTACAGATTATACATAGGTAGTGAACACGTTCTTGGTGTGCCCCTCTAGCCTGTGAGCAGGTCCAGAGCTTTCTCGCGGTCCATATCGGCAGTGACAAGAGCTTCCTGGATGGATTCCCGCTTGAAACCAAGTTCCTCAAACTGATCCAGCATTTTTAAAAAGTTCTCAGCCTGAGGGGAGGAAAAGAAAAAATAAATGTAAGAGATCTAAAAATGTGAAAAAACGAAACAGAACAATCAGCGCTCATTGTAAAAAGCAGAACTTCTAAGAATCTGAATATTAATTTTCAACCAGCAAAACATTTCTTTACATTTCAATAGCATCTTCACTGAAGGAGGTCCAATTGTGGAAGGGGGTGCAGTTACTAAAGGTTTCTCAACTGGGCCCAGCCATCCAGTCAGAAGTTCGGATCAAAGTGAGAAAAGTATCAAAGCATCACATAAAGGAAAAGGCTTTCAGGTGAAAATCTTTTTACACCAACTCAAACCAAAACAACACAAAGTATCATTCTTGTTATTGTAGAGGGTGAAAATGCTGCGTTTCTATGACCATCTTCGCTTATTTTCTATCACTTTTAATTGGAGTATAAAATTCATGATGCACATCTTATTAAGGCCTACATTGTTTCCTTAAGAGCCAAGGCTCCACACAGTCCATTTGATATTTTAGTCACATTTTTCTTTCTCATCTAGTGCTCAGATTTATTAATGTGTGCAGTGTGATATATTATATAGATTTTAACTGTGCGTTACACTGCCCAATATAGCCATGCATGGTATACTTCTTCCTTTAATGGACTATGCAAATCTATTGGGACAAAACATAACATTACAAAGAAGTAAATACTACTTTTTTTTTTAAAATGTTAATCCTTAAGTTATTTATTTTGTTTGAAGGTGACATTTTTTGCATGCGGAATTGATTTGACACATTTGACATCGTTTGACAATGGGGTAGGAGTTCATCAGTCCAAGTTGTGCTACCACAGGGTCACTCTGTCTAGAAGCTGTATGGTATGAAGCGTTGAGTTTCTCCTTCAAATTTCTCTACAGCTATCCCCATAGACTCCCCCCACCCTCCTCACCTGAGCCAGTCGCTGGTCATTACCCCTTGAACCAAGGTGCAAAGTTTCCTGTCCTCTCAACTACAACACTAGCAACAGACACAACAACTTACACTCACTGAGAGACCCCAATCCACTCAAATACATTGCTAGGACAGAACACAACATCTACCAATTTTTCTGTGGCCCACTTTGACAAACTAGTAAGCTATTTGACAATCAAAACATCCCTGGCATCCTCAACACCACTACTATGAAATTTTCCGAGAACAAAAAAAGATGGTATACTGTCTCCCATGTTGAGAGATTCAGAAAAACAAGGGTAGAATAAGCAAACAAGACAGCTCTGCATCTCTTATGTTTTATACAGAAGACACTTTTCTCACAGAACAATTCCGAAAGAACAATTTTTTTTACATCACATTTATAAACAGTGCTTCCACCAGCTGAAGCTGAAAAGTAAGGAAAATTATGCACTGGGTCTAGGGGCCGCAGAGGCCCCCAGCAGGGTCCAGGGACAGCGTCCCGGCGGGGGTTAAGGGGGCGAAGGCCCCGAAGGAATTGAAATTTAGTGCTTTTAGAGGGTTGAAAATGGCATTTTGGAGCCTGTTTGAAGATATTGCCTTCAGCCCATAACATTTATTTTTTCACCAACATTTTGTCTTGTCTAATTTTTTCACCAACATATCTTTCCATTGCTGGCAATGTTTAAAAGGTTCCCCTTTCATTGCTACTATAATTCAATTAATTTGTCATCGCACAATTGATAGCAGGCAAACCTGGGAATAATGAATAGATGTACCTTCAAAATACAGTTGCACAGCGTATACCCAAATTTTTTCTCAATTTTCACGTCTGAATGTCGCCTGTCACAACCTCGGAACACCAATTTGAATTATTCTTAATTTTACCTACGACTGGATCGGGCCGATCGCCCGACTCGATCGCCTGAAACTGAAAACAAACGCGTTTGTTTTTGAGGCGACCCAGTCAGGCCATCAGCCGATCCCATCCATGGTGGGCACGCCCGTATCAGCATATATTTTTTTCTTCGCGGCCCTTATAAATTATATTGCCTAGATCTAGATCTAGACAAATTTGCGAAAAAAGCTTCTTTCTGACAGTAATTTTCTGTATAAGATCACAAGTCAATTTACTTGATCAACGCGCAGATTTTCCAACCGCGGCAACAATCAGAACATAGACAGACGGCATGAGTGAATGATAGAAAGGAGGAAATTGGCACAAAAGGTTCGTCACATTTTGATCCATCTGCAGGTAAAAAATGTACTGCAACGAATGCATGGGACTGGGACATAGCGATATAATGGCCGATTGCAGGAAATGCGCAATTTGGCAGGTTTCTATAACTTTAACTTGTTGCCGAGAGAATTATCGTAAATATCCGTAGCTTATACAAAACGATACGAAAGCGAGTACGGAATTTCGACAGTCCTGCGCTGTCACAGTTTTTTTTACGGAGGGAGTTGATAATGATGGAGGGACAAGTACGGCACTGGCAGAAAGTACGGATTTCCGTAAAAATACGGAAGAGTGGAAGCACTGTCAAACCCAAAAATCGTACTAAATACGTTTTTACGTTACTACTTGGTAGCTATGAACATGGTTCACGTATTTTTACAAACTGGATAAGGACAGGTGCAATATATTTTTTATATTGTAGAGGATATTGTATTTCTTTCGGAAAACCTGGAAACTTGGATAAAATCTTGGTTTCATATCATATGGTAATACTTACTATGTCTCTTTACACAAACAAGTCATAGCAAACGCACTGGCCCTATGCATATGTAAGTCTGCCGGGTGAAACGATTTAAGCAAATTAAATATGGTTCACATCAAGCAAACATGCAAGCTTTGTTAAACGAGAAACAAATAAATGCCTCAATGGTAAAATTATGAAGTGCTTCACTCAGAGGTTCAGACATTGTTTTTCATCAAACAAGAAGTCTGTCCTCATGTTTTCATCATACGAAGCATAATGGATTAGACCACACAAACAAATTGTGGTCCTTTATGTTTTTCATGATATCATTTTTCTAAAAGTGCTCCAATATGTACGTCTGCCAGCTGAAATGATTTTCCTTTATGTTTTTCATGATATCATTTTTCTAAAAGTGCTCCAATATGTACGTCTGCCAGCTGAAATGATTTTCCTTTATGTTTTTCATGATATCATTTTTCTAAAAGTGCTCCAATAT